GGCTGGCCCAGCAGACCTGAAGGACCAAGAAGTCAAAGGACCAAAAGAAAAAGCTGAAGAACCAGGGAGCATAGGAAGCAGAGCTGCCTCAGTCTCAAAGGGTAGGGTCATGGCCTGAGGGATGTCATGGAGTCAGGCCATGGCTTCTGTGGTTTCCATGGGTGGGACCACAGCCTTCTAGTTTCCAAAGAGTACCAACTCACTTCTGGAGGATGGCACTGCTGTTCTCTCAGAATGGGGGTTTTGGGGTCAAGGAGGTGGGGCTACCACTCAGTTTGTTTAGGAAAATGTACTGCCCAAACCCCGGAGCAGAGTTGCCTTTCCAGTGAGCCTGAATGATAGAACTGAAGCCCAAGGGGCCTTCACATAGAACCCAGAAATTATGGCCAAAACTTATAGTCTGAAGGTCAGGGTCATTGCCTCGTTCATCTCAGAAAGCAGAATGATTTTTAAGCCTTGATAGCTAATGCAAATTATTCTTTAGGTTTCTTACTTGATTGGCACCCATGGTTACTTCTTTCCCTTTTGTTTCTCCTGTTTGTAATGGAAGTACCTACCTGCACCTACCTGTTCCACCATTGTATTTTGGAAATAGAAAAATTGTAGTCTAGATTTCACAGGTTCTCAGATAAAGAGAGATTTTGTCCTATGATGGAATTTGGGATGATATGATGGAGTTGTTGTTGCTAAATGCCATCGAGTTGATTCCGACCCATAGCAACCCTGTATAGGGTTTCCAAGGAGCAGCTGGTGAGCTTGGACCACTGACCTTGTAGTTCAGACTGACTTAGCGGTCTGATGCATTAGCACACAGTGCCACACCAGGACTCCATGAGTATGCAGTAAAACACATATAATGTGTTTTGTATGTGGTAAGGACATGAATTTGGTAGGGGCAGGGCAAAAGTTAGATAGAATGTATGGATTAAACTGTGCACACAAAAAATCTGTGTCAAGTTGGTTTGGCATTTATGTAATGATATGATCATCCCCCATTTTGTGATTGGATGAGATCAGCCCTGAATATGACCTTTATTACCTTTTATCTTATAAGAGATAAAAATGTAGAAAAGTAAGCAGAGGAAGAGGGCCCTCAGTACCACCAAGAAAGAGCCAGTTGCAGAGCGCGTCCTTTTAATCCAGGAACCTTATGCTGAGAATCTCTTATGTTGAGGGGAAGACTGATGTCAAGACACTTGGTGTTCTCCAAGGGATGCCAGATGCTGAAAGGAACAAGGACCTTCCCCAAAAGGGACACAGAGAGCAAGTCTTCCTTTAGGGATGGTGCCCTCATTTTGGTCTTTTAGCCTCCTAAACTGTAAGAGAATACATTTCTGTTTGGTAAAACTCATCTCCTTGTGGTGTTTCTGTTGCAAAAGCACTAGATAACTAAGACAAATGGTCTGAGATTTTTACAGATGGTTAGGTTGTGTTTGTTGTTGTTGTTGGTAAGTCCTGTTGAGTCGGTTCTGATTCATAGTTATCCTGTAAAGGGTTTCCAAGGAGTGTTTGGTGAGTTTGAACCACCGAGCTTGTGATTCAAACCCACCTTGCAGTCCAGTGCTTTATCCTACAGCATCACACCAGGACTCCAGGTTGGGTTTGGGCATGTGCTTCTGTGAATGTGTGCTAGTTTTACCTAACCTTTTCTTTTTTTCTGTCTAGTCATCACCATAGTAGGTGATTGTGGCTTATTGGTTTTCAACTTGGAGAAATTTTTAACTTTGAAATTTTCCGCGATTGAACACATGATCAAGTTTTAGAAATTTTCCCATAGGTATTCAAAATGTATGTATATTCTTGGTCTGTTTACCACAAAAATTTGCATGTACATGTGTTTATTAAAGTGAATGTGATACCTTTGTGATTCATACTTTCCATATTGATATTTTTGTTTGCTTCTTTTGATTTCTGAGAGTTATTAAAGTCACCCACCAAGATATGGCTTTGACAAATTCTTTCTGTATTTTTAGTGGTTTTAAAGGGATCTATTTACTGAAGTATAATTTACATACAATGACATGCACAAATACCAAATGGGTAGTTTGATGAGTTTTGACAAATGCATATAGTTGTATGATAATCACCCCAGTGAAGATACAGAGTAGAAAGTTCCTTTATGTACCTTTCAATCAACATCCCCCCACGGCTCTCAGTCTCAACAAGCACTGTTCTGATTTCTGTGACAGCTTAGCTGTGCTTGTCTCTAATTTCATATTAGTTGAATCATATACTATATACTCCTTTGTGTCTTCTTCTGTTCCACATAATGATTTTGAGACTTTTCCGTGTTATTGTGTCAGTCGTCTGTTTACTTTCTTTCTGAAAAGGATACCTAGTTCATTCTTGTTTTGCCTACTTGATGCATAAGGTTTTGTAATTACTTTATCTTATATAGGAAAAAACTACTTTGGATTCTGTTCATATCCCCTGTTGGCAAAAGACATCTGGTCTGTGGTTACAAGGGGAAAACATATCCCTGAGTTTTCTGCCTGTTTATTAGTTGTCTACACTGATAACAAGTGAGAGAACAAGAGAGAAGACAGATGGTTTGTGGAGCTTTGCTGACTTCCTAAATGACTCGCTGGCACAGGTCTAAGTGTTATTCTGGCCCTTGCTTCCCTATGAGGACTATGATGACAGTACACGTAGATATGCCCCAGATAATTAAGGTGACTCTGAAAGAGTGAGCACCAGTAATTCCACACCCCTGCTGTGTGGTGCACCTAGTAGAGAAATGCTTCATTAACTCAAATCAGAATTTACCCTGGTCGTAGATGCAACCATAGAGCAACTTGAACATTGTTGAATCAGTATTCAAGATTTTAAGTAGACTTCAAAAAAACAAAAACTTGTGTAAATTGAAATATTAGTGAATTTTTAATGATTTGGAGACTGATTACCCAGTTTGTTAATGATCTATAATTTAGCCATATTCTTTCTCTGCTTACCTTTTGACTCCTTTTTGTTGCTTTTTAGTTTAATTTACTTTTTATTTAAGCAATAGATAGAGGGAAGGAGATTAAGTAAAATTCCATCTGGTTCATTTTAGTAATTATAGTAAATTGTGTGTATATGTGTACGTGTGTAGGGCAGAGTAAAGCTGTTTTCTAAAATAAAAATATGCCTTTTACATGGGAGGCATCCTATAGCTGTGTAACTTTAGGCAACTTATTTAATGTATTTGAACCATTGTTTTCTCATTGGAAAAGTGAAAATGCCTACATACTCATTTCACAAATTCTTTGGAAGACCAAGTAATATAATTTATATAAAAAGTCCCTATATTTTAAAGTTCTTTTGATATGTTCTATGCTATTGAAGTTGTCAAGGACTTCATTCATCTTGGATCAACTATCAACACTCATGGAAGCAACAGTCAAGAAATCAAACGATGTATTGCAATAGGCAAATCTGCACAAAACCTTTTTAAAGTGTTGAAGAGCAAAGATATCAGCTTGAGGACCAAGGTGTGCCTGACCAAAGCCATGGTATTTTCAATAACCTCATATGCATGTGAAAGCTGGACAGTGAATAAGGAAGACCATAGAAGAATTGATACTTTTGAGTTATGGTGTTGGAGAAGAATATTAAAAATGCCAAGGGCTGCCAAGAGAACAAACAGATCTGTGTTGGAAGAAGTGCAGCCAGAGTGCTCCTTAGAGGCCAAGATGATCAAACTTCATCTCTCATACTACGAACATATTGTCAGGAGGGTCCGGTCGCTGGAGAAGGATATCATGTTTGGTAAGGTGGAGGGTCAGAGAAAAAGAGAAAGACCCCCAGCGAGATGGATTGGCAAAGTGGCAGCATCAGTACGCTCAAATGTGACAACAATTATGAGGTTGGCCCAGGACTGGGCAGTGTTTCGTTCTGTTGTTGTACATAGGGTCACTATGAGTCCATACTGACTCGATGGCACCTAACAACAACAATATACACACAAAATTTATTTTATATTTACAAATTTTATATTTTTCTTTAAAGATCTGATCCCTACATTGTTGTTGTTAAGTGCCATGGAGTTAATTCTGACTTATAGCAACCTTGTATAGAGTTTCCGAGGCTTTAAATCTTTGCACGAGCAAAAACCTCATCTTTTTTCTGTGGAGCAACTAACTAGTAGGCTCAAACCGCTGACCTTGTGGTTTGCAGTCCAGTGCTTAGTCTATGAAGCCACTGCGCTCCCTATCCCTACATGTAGAGACATTTGACATGTTCCTGAAATATTATATGTGATTTTACTTTTAAAAGCCATTCACTATATAAAAAATATCTAGTCATTAAAAAATGAGCTACCTTGAGAAATGTGTTCACTTTTTTCTCAGCGTAATTTGTGCTAAGTTGAGAGGGCTGTTTAAAGGAAGCCCACCACGAACACCTTTTTAAAGCATGGAGCACAGCCTGGGGGAGTCAGGAGCACCTAGACCTGGCCCTGAACCAATTGCCTGTTTGATCCAGCCATGTTGTAGGAACTCTCTTTCGCTTGGTTTTCTCTTTTAGAAAATGTGAAAAATAAATCTTATTCTGCACTGTGATATTATGATTGTTACTCGTTTATGAAAGTGACTTATAACCATTTATTTTAATTTTTCTGTGAAACCAGATTTCCATGTATTGGGCTGACTTTAAATTATATCCACTTAAGGCATGCACTCAATTCTATTTTTGTAAAAGGACTGAGATATTGTTGTCTTCTGCTCAAGCACCCAATCTTTGCAAAATCATTTCTTACTAATTTCAAAAGAATATAGAGTAGTGCATTTAGTTATACAGTTTATGCCATTGTTCCATTAGAAGCAAAATGATAGGAGTGAGGATACAATGACATCAATTGCTAAGGCCTGTACATTATTCATTTAACATCTGCTGTTGGCTCTTTTTTTCCCTGTGGGAGAATAAATTACAAGGCATCAGCACATTTTTTATGCTTTGTGTTTAAGCATTTAAAAGTCATTTACTGTATTATTAATATTATTTTATTTCTGCTTGTTTGGCAGCCCCTGAAGTTATCAATGCCCATGACTACAGCCAGCAGTGTGACATTTGGAGCATAGGGGTCATAATGTACATACTGTAAGTAGCCTGCTGAACATACTAGTCTTTAACAGTAAGATTATACACATGTTTAATTAAAACGAATCAATGCTGTTTTTAAAAAGCAATTTAAAAACCAATTGGGAAGGCATTCTAAAGGCTCTTATTAGTTGGCAGGTACATCTGTTAGGTTCTTTTTTTCTTTTTTTTTTTAATACTGTAAATTCATGATTTGAAGATTTACTGTTCCTTTTGACCTATACATCTAACAATGCTTTATATGTTAAGCGGAAAGGGAAAACCTTTCTTTAATACCTTTCTGATCCCTTGCTACAAACCAAACCTTTGTATTTTCTCAAGAGAATAATTCATAGCTCATCAGGTAGAGAGAGGAAACTGGGACTTGATAATAGTAGGGTTACCCATGTAGAAAGGGCATATGTGGGAAGTGGGCACCAACTACATCTGAATCTAGGGCGTATTTAGAGCTCCTGTGTGGCACTGTGGGTTAATGCGCTGGACTGCAAAGTCGGTTTGAACACAAGGTAGGCAGTTCAAACTCACCAGATGCTCCTTGGAAACTCTATACAGGGTTGCTATAGGTTGGAACTGACTCGATGGCATGTAACAACAATTCTCTAATGGAATCCTGGTGTAGTGCTGTGGGTTAATGCACTGGACTGCAAAGTCAGTTTTAATCACAAGGTCAGTGGTTCAACTGAAACCCTATGCAGGGTTGCTGTGGGTCGGAATCAACTCAATGGCACTTAACAACAACAGAAATTCTCTAACGCAACTGAAAACCTCAATCATACTAGCCCTTCTTTTTCCCTTATGCTCACAGTACAGTTAAACCTCATGCCCTAGTCATTTTTCCTTTGAAATATCCTTACCTGCTCTTTAATTTCTATTTATGGTTCCTTTTCTAGATGATTTCGGTGCCTTTCTTACTGTTCTCCCTGCTTCTGACCACTCTCCCCAGTCCATCTGCCTTAGTTATTTAGTGCTGTTAGAACAGAAATAGCACAAGTGATTGGCTTTAACAAACAGATATGTGTTCTACCACAGTTGAGGAGGCTAGATGTCCAAATTCAGGGCACTAGCTCTAGGGGAATACTTGCTTTCGCTGTCTGTTGGCTTTGGAGGAAGGGCCTTGTGTCCATTCAACATCTGTGGGTCCCACTTCCCATAGAGTTCTCTTTGGGTCTCAGCATCAATCTTCCTCTGGGTCTAGAAAGTTCTCAGTTCAGGGACCCCAGGTCCAAAAGATGCGTTCTATTCCTGGCTTTTCTTTCTTGATTGTACTGAGGTACTCTCTCTCTATTTGCTTCTTTCTCCTTTTATCTCTTATAAGATAAAAGGGGATGCAGGGAAGCTTCCCTTATGTTAGATCAGGACTGTGATCTGAGGAAATGTGCTGCAGTCCGCTCTAAACCCCTTACAACTAATTGGCTAATCACATCAGATCACATCATGGGGTGATTAAATCATTGTATAACTGCCAAACCACAGAGAATCATGGCTCTTGCTAAGTTGGCACATACTCCGGGGGACAGAATTCAGTCCATGACACCATCCTTCATACAGCTGTCAGGCTCGTCTTTCTTCATCATAAATATGATCCTATAACTTGCTTGATTAAAATATTTGATAATTCTCCCTTGCTACAGAAAATAACTCAAAGCATCCTCGTGGCATACCAACTATTTCGTGACCTGGTTCCATTATGCCTGACAGGTATATGTTGTTATGCACCTTCCTTGTGCTGCGGCCATTGTAGGCCATCTTCATTGTTCTAGCACTCCCTTTTTTTTTTTACAAGCCTCTGGGTCTTTACTCGTGCAGCTCCTTCTATCTAGAATGTTCTTTTTCTTCTCTACAAACCTCCATCCTAGGTGGGCCCAGCTCATAGATAAATAACCCTTTCTATTTCCCTAATTCCTACCTCACCCATCAGAATTATTATCTCACCCATCAGAATTATTATTACATTTATTATGTATGTCCTTTCCCACACACCATAGAGGATTTAAGGCAGCATACAAAAATGCATGCACAACAGTAACGCTGAAAAAACAAACAAACTAATAAAGAAGACGAAATAGGAATATTTAACCAGGAAGATTTGCACATATGTAAATTTGATAGAATTAATTTTCCACTTTTCTGTGTTATCATAGTACCTGTTTTTACTCGATTAATATTGTAATAAAATTATGTTGTGTGTATTGTATCTGTTTTTCTAGCTCTAAATTCCATGAAGGGCAGAGATTTTAAATTATTCGCCTTTGTATCTTGGGTATCTAGTAGGCATGTAGTCATTGCTCAATATATGTTTGTTAAATTCAATTAAAGTGAATTGTTTTGAAAAGTTAGTGACCACTGTTCTGCCAGTTGGTGAATATGAACATTTTTATATTGATGCAACATTAGTTTTATGGTCATATTGAAGATTTCACTATGCTCTACCTCTTCCAGATCATTTCTAAATATTGACATCACAGTAGTTACATTTTCACAGTTCTGTGAAATGGAGTACACAGGCAGTAGAAATTGGATGATGTGATTGTAGCCGTAACTCAACTAGTCCGCACACATCACTGCTTAGGTTGCATACAGTGTAAATGTACTCACAAAGATGGTGATCATTGTTTGGTGCTGATTAGAATTATTGAATATAAGTTTTGAGCCGTAGTCTTTAATTAAAGTATTTAAAATGAATATTTTATAACCTCAAGGTTTTCTAACATAACACAGGTCAAGCATAGTATGTTTAGTGTGACATGTTCTTACGATGTTTGCTGCCTTCTGTTCAGTTTGAATCTAGTGTTAAGGAAAATGATAAAATATTGAATATCTTAAAAATATTTTTCTTTTTAAGGATATAATTAAAAAATTTTCTACCTCAGATCATCATAATAACATCTTAATTTCCTTACAGTAGACCCTTAGTTAATCAGTGTGTATTCATTAATCTGTCTGAACCCAGTGGTCTTATAGATAATTTATTTCATCGAGAGCACATGTTACCTTCTCCTGGACAGGAGGTTATTTTCTTGTTTACCAGTTACCCTAGATTCATTTTTACATATTTGAATAATGAAAATATACTTTTTCAAGATAAAATTAATGTAAATAAATAATCTTTACATTACTATCCTCTGCTGTTTTGATTCCTATGGATGCAACAAAAAATATAAGAGGGCTGTAAGAGGCATTTTTCATGTCTGAGATTCCCTTTTCTAGATGTGCAGAAAATTGCTGTCATAAAATTTCATATGCTGCTGATTGACCAACCATTAGATACATTTTTGCGTAAGTAAAATTGCAAAAGAAAGAAAAAAGTGGAATTTAAAAAACATAGCCCTTAAGCTATAGTTGAGTGCTAGTCAGGCAATGCTGGAGCAGCTAAGAAATTGGCTGATGTGCATATCCCTGGCTGGTATCAGGCTCAATGAGCTGGGCTCTCGCTGGCCTGCACTTGGTATAAGAGATAGTAATGTCCATAAAGTCATTGTTTTTCTTTTTTTGTTGTTGGTACATTTTAAAACTAAACAATAGTGAGGCAAGTAAGATGAGAAGAGGGTCAGAATAAGCTGGAGAAATAAAAATAAAGTATTAGAATATGAGTTTACAGAACAATTTGATAAATGCTGCTCTCTTAACAAAAGCCTGTTGGTAATTGAAAAGCTCTATTGTCCAGCCTAGTCAAAGAAACTACTAGGATGAAAGCAACTCTTTTTTCTCTCTAAAGAAAGTCATCATCATCATCATTATCATGAAAAATATTGATCAAACTTAGATTTATTCAGAAAATGTTCACGGGAAGGATTTTTAGATAACTTAAGGAAAAATCTAACCACAGAAAATCAGTAAAAAGTTGACCTTAAAAAGACTTAGAGATCATTGGACTTAGGCACATGCTATATAGCTGCTTGGACTCTTTTCTTCAAGTGCTATCGAGTTGATTCTGACTCATAGTGACCCTGTATAGGGTTTCCAAGGAGTAGCTGTTGGGTTTGAACTTCTGACCTTGTGATTTGCCATCCATGGTTGATCCTACAGCATAGTGTTTGCACAGTGTAGGTAAATTATGCCATTTTATTCCTTCAATAATTACATGGAAAATTATTATCTTGAGATTTGAAGAATAGACGTACAGAGTTGCCTCTGTGGTGAATCCAAGGATTCACCTTCTGTCTGGTGGTTATTAGAAAATGGTTATTGTATATAGGGTTGCCCTCGGATGTTGGGATTGGCATTGATGGCGATGATTAGGATTCAGTTACTGTATAATGAAGCAGTGAACTAAGCTTTTCAGCATATCCTTGTAGTGCTGGATCATCAGTAAATGCAGCAGAGTTACATGTTTGCTATACTCTTTGTAAAATGCAGTACTTTTTTTGAAAATATTCTAAAGATACAGATTTCCAGAATTATAGATATCCATGTTTACTTTATGCATACTGCTCATGGTTTTACCTGGGATGACTTTTGTTCTTATAGATTGACGAGTCAAATCATCATTGTTTGATTTTCCTCATCCAGATCTTTATTTGATATACCACATTTGAGGAATTCTGGCCATTTTAATGACTTCTTGGCTTTGACTCAGAGCCTATAAATCTTCCCTGGCTTTTTTCTTACCATTACTAACATTTGTGTAGTATCTGACAGTTGATAAAACTCCTATGTGGTCACGGTTTCATTAGAATCTGGTAGCTGTGTTTTCCATTAATCAGGTTTGGATTGTGTACCTGACTGCATAACCATACCTTGCCCACACAGAAGTGTATCTTGTCATGATGCTGTGCACTAAAACTCGCACACCTTCCAATTTTTAAACTCCATATAAACTTAGTGTTTTACCACATGGAAGAATTTTGGGTCATTTGCAGATCTGGAGGTTTCAATGTATAAGTATAAACTACTGCCTCCATCAAGTCTCTCTCCTGGTGTTGAGACAGGAGCCTAGCATTGATCCTGGAAAATCGTATTGCTTCCATTTCTACATCCAGAGAGGTATCCATTTCTTCCTATCTTCTACTTAAATATGTAAAGTGCCTGTACCTCCAAGTACTGTAGAAACTTAATTCTTAATGGCATTATTTTGAATATTATGTATATATTTTTTCATTTTAAAAAATATTGCCGTTGTTGTAGATTATGTGGAGAACCACCCTTTTTGGCAAACTCAGAAGATAAACTTTTTGAATTAATAAGAAAGGGAGAACTACGTTTTGAAGATCCAGTCTGGGAATCTGTAAGTGACTGTGGTAAGTATGGATTTCTGTACTATTAATATAAGAAACTCAAATCAATAATTCATATACCTTAAATCTCTGTTTAGTCATTAAATTTATTTGTGTAAATAAAGCAAACATTATCTACTTAGGGAAACATAGTGTTATCTTTACTGTGATTGTTTATAGTCAGAACTTAGCAACAGAAACAATATACGTAATAAAAATTGAAGAGGAAATTTGTTAATCATCTTACTAATTTTTACTCTAGGCTATTATTAGATGTTGTTGTTTTTGAGTGCCATTGAGTCCGTTCTGACCCATAACGATCCTGTATAGGGTTTCCGAGAAGCGGCTGGTGAGCTTGAACTGCCAACCTTGCAGTTCAGACCAACTTTGCAGTCCAGTGCATTAACCCACAGTGCAACACCAGTACTCCTTAGATAATCCAGGCACTAAAATTTCACTTTAGGCTTCACTTTGTTATCTATCTATACTTATGAAGTTTATTTTGTAATTGATATCTTTCCTTCGTGTCAAATATGTCTGATCCTAAATAAATGGGAAGATGTGTGATATTAATTGCAATTAATGAATAATATTTTCAAGATATCTCTTTGTTTGCAGCTAAAAGTGCTTTAAAACAGCTTATGAAAGTTGACCCTGCTCACAGAATCACAGCTAAGGAACTGCTAGATACTCCATGGATAACAGTATGTTGCAGTATTACTTCTTTCTTTTCTTTGTGACATGCTAAGACTGTTTATTTCTTTTTATTTGGTCTTGTAGCTTTATCTACATTCTTCCTAAAGCATTCAATTAATTTTATCATCTGATAGGTTAAAAGATTAGTGAATCTCAGCACATTTCTGAAATGGGCATTTTCAAATTTTTATAGCTGATACCAAAGTTGTATATATATGTATATATGCTATGTACTTACATGATCTTTGCTTAATGTCATAAATTATATTTATAGTAGATTAGAACTAAGAAATGTCCATTACTTAAACTGTGGAATGTTGAAATCATTTGTATAGTTCAATGATGTTGGTATAGATCGCTGGAATCATGATCTCTTTTTGGATGCAGGGATTTTTGAGAACTTATATCAGTGTCTTCAAACAGTAGTTATTATCTTGAGTAATTGTGCATTTGTATATTGTTTTCTGCTATTAGACTAAGTGCCACAAGTATGGCTCCTGTGTCTTATTGATCTTTGTATTCCTCTACCTAGAATGTTGCCTCTTCTTAGTATTCTCTGGTTATAAGGATCCTTGCTTTCAGTTAGAAACATTACTTTCCAGTTAAAAGCCTTTGTTCCTCAGTCTCCTCACAGCTAGCTATCCTGATAGTTAATGAATGTAAGTGGAAGTGTGTGCAATTTCTGTGAAGTGTCCTGAAATGGAGGAATTGTGTAGTCCTCAAGCCCTTCCTTTTGGGGGAATATAGATATGGTATCTGGAGTCTGAGAAACCATGTTAGACCATTCAGGGAGGTCATACTCTGAGGATGGTAGACCATCAAGGTTCAAGGGACCAGGGCTCTTAGTTCATAGAACGGCCATGCCAGATTTGGACTGGTTTAAGACAATGCAAAATATGGAACTGATCTTAATCCGAATTAATACAATACTCAGTGAATAATGAACAAATTATCCAGTAATTGAATAGATCTTTAGGTCAGAAAGTGTTTTAGAACTCAGACTTGAGATTTTTAGAGACACATGGGAATATTGCTAATTGTTTATGAAACAATTATTGTTTATGAAAACAATTGTTTATGAAAACAATTATTGAACATCTGTTAATTAGTTATGTTAGTTGCTGAGGATACATGATATGATTACATCCAAAATGTAAGTTAGTATATGGTTACATTCTTAAAATATCACTCTGTTGGGATGGAGATATCTTGGTAATAGGGTATTAGACAGCTATTTCAGTAGTATTATTGAGATATGATGGTGGCATGCATAGTACAGCAACAGAAGTAAAGCTAAATATGAGATACATATTTAAAGATTTATTGATAAAACTTGGTAATTATATTAGTTGCTGGGGATACATGATATGATTATATTCTGGATATAAATTAGCATATGATTACAGTCTAGGGTAAGTCAAAAGTATTGCTACAAAATCACGAAAACCTTAATTAAACAAAAATATCAAAATGTGAACTTACTGCTTCTTGACATATCCATCATCTAGTCCATACATTGGACTACTGGAGTCGCGCTGTAGGGTAAGCACTGAATTACAAACCACAAGGACAGCAGTTCAGACCTACCAGGTACTCCTCGGAAACCTTGTACAGGGTTGCTATGAGTCAGAATTGACTTGATGGCACTTAACAAAAACAACAGGTCTATACACTTCTCAAGATGGTGTTTCCATCTCTCTAACCTTTCCTGGTGTGGTGCTATAGGATAAGCACTGGACTACACAGTTGGTTTAAACTGCAAGGTCGGCAGTCCAAACCTACCAGCTCCTCCTCAGAAACCATTTACAGGGTCGCTATGAGTTGGAACTGACTCGATGGTACTTAACAACAACAACAACAACCTTTCCCTGAAGAAAGGGAAAATTTACACCATGTCAAAATTTACACCATCTCTAAATGGCAGTTTTGGCATCCTTGAAGGATTCAAATTGTATTTTTATTGTAAGTTCTTTGAATTTCAGGAATATAAAGAAGGCTGAAGCAGCGTGATCAGGACTGTAGGGTGGATGGGGTAAGGTTTCCCAATGAAATTCTTGTAGGAGAACCCTTACCATCCTTGAAGAATGAGCAGGTGCATTGTCATGATTGAAAACAGTTTCTTGATGCAACTCTCCTGACTTGTATTCATCAATGCAGTTTTAGATTTTCTTAAAACTTCCTTACAATAAGCCCCTGTGATCATCCTGTGTCCTCCAATAAAATCTATCAAGACTATCCATTTGGAATCCAAAAAAACAATTGCCATAACCTTCTGAGCTGACCTCTGCCTTAAATTTAACTGGCCAGCAGATCCCCTTGGAAGTCACTGTTTTGATTGAACCTCTTCCTCTCTGGATTACCATTCATTCCATAAAATCATCTTCACTAGCTTCAATCTTGCTTAAAAGACTGATAGAAAGATGAACTTTTTGGGTTAGCTGACAATTACACAACACTTTTGGCACCTGTTGAGCTGAAAGCTTGCTGAAGCCCAGGTGTCACTTAAAATTGAAAATGCTGAACCGTGTATGACTGCAACTTCAGTAGCTATTGTCACATGTCCCCTGGTGCCCCTCTTCAGGAATCTGAAGAATCACACTCCTCAAGGATGCAGGCACACTGGGCATTCACTCATAAGATTGATTGGAAAGGGATAGTACACTTCAGAGAGAGAGAAGTGGGTCTGTCTCTGAGAGTGGAGAAGACTCCTAGGAATTGGGGAACAAGGTTTAATAAACTCAGGACTCTTCCTCTAAGGAATTTTTTTTGCCCAGTGGGAGTGATTTGGGAGGTTCTAGTTGGGTTTGTTAGCTCTTTTCTGTGTGTGTATCACATGCTGAGTCAGGGGCTTTTAATTGTATGTAGGGGTGGATACATAAGTTAAAGATATTACAGTAAGCCAGTATATGTCAAAAGGTCATGCTAAGGATGAGTCCTAAACCGGAAGGTATGTCTGGGACTTTTGTGGTCTCTGTTCTAGTTCTCAGTTGGTTTATTGTGGTATGGGTCAGGCAGGGAGGGGCTTAAGATAGCCCTAATTTGTTCCTATCACTATGACATTAATGCTAATTCTATAGTCTTCTACCAGTTTCTGAACTTCAGCCACAGTTTGTTTTCATCGAGGGTGACAGTCTTCCTTCTTGGTTCATCTTTTAGGCCTTTCCAGCCTTCATTAAAGTCTTTGATCCATCTAAAAACTGTGGTTTTCTGTAGGGCAGCACTCCTGTAAATTTATTCAATGATTTGGGAAAATGTCCATTTGAGTTTTGTTAAAAATTTAGTATTAGTCCTGATCTCAAAATTGTTTTTTTCCATGGCACAAAAGTATCCTTTTTTTTTTTTCTTTTTTTTTAAAGTTCACTATGAGACTAAGGGAGCCCTGGTATGGTGCTGTGGGTTAATGCACTGGACTGTAAAGTTGGTTTGAACCCAAGGTCAGTGGTTCAAGCTCACCAGCCACTTCTCGGAAACCCTATACAGGATTGCTATGGGTCGGAACCGACGTGATGTCACTTAACAACAACAACATGAGATTAAGACAAGTATATTATGGAGAGAACTTTTGTAGCCACTCACTGACATCAGATACATGTTTAAACACTTTTGTTTGTAATAAAACTGCATGTGTATGAATTGGAACTATAATAGCAATACTTTTTGACTTACCTTCGTATGTTGTTGTTGTTATTTAGTGCCAACTCATAGCAACCCTGTATAGGGTTTCTACAGAGCAGCTGTTGAGTTTGAAACACTGACCTTGCAGCTCAAGCAGTCCATTGCTTATCCTACAACGCCATTTCAGGACTCCTCATATAGATGCTTTATAAAAGCTAATGGGCTGAAGAGATAAACTAGGAAGAAAGTACAGATGGAGAGAAGAGGCCCCAGGACCATGCCTTCAGGCGCTCTAACATTTAGAGGAGGAGGAGTTAACAGTGAGCACTGAGAGCTACAGCTGATAAAGAAGGAGGAAAATTGCAAGAGTGGTGCCAGGGAAGTTATGTGAGAAAATGTTTGATAAAGTGGAGCAATCAGCTTCCAGATGCTTGCTGCTGAGAGGCAAGATGGGACACGAGCAGTTTCCATTAGGCTAGCTAACAGAGGGCTTGATGGTGACCCCTGAAAGTGCAGAGAAGTGAAATCCAGTGAATTTATAGTGGCATCACTTTTCTTTTAATTCTCCAACGTTCCTTTGGCATTTTCTAATTATCAGCCCTGGACTGTGAACCACAAGGTCGGCAGTTCAGACCCACCAGTTGTTCCTTGGAAACCCTATATAGGATTGCTATGAGTCAGAACTGACTCGATGGCACTTAATATAAAGAATAATAAAAAATAATATTCTCTTAAGAATGGGTTGTGTAAGGTACTTTTAGAAGTTCATGGAAACATTCCATCATCTTTTCATCTTATGTTTCCATGAACTTTTGAAGCTCTATCATATTTGTCCTCTTTATTGAATGTGTTGATCTCTCCAAGGATTCTGTGCAGTATTTCTTCCTAAAGGAATTGTGTAATGAATTACCAGATAGCTAGATTGCAAAACTATACTACTTAGTATAGACTAGTTGTTGTTATTAAGTGCCATTAAGTCATTTCTGACACATAGCGACCTCGTATAGGATTTCCAAGAAACAGCTGGTGGATTTGAACCTCCAACCTTGTGGCTAGCAGTTAAGTGCTTATCCCACAGTTCCACACCAAGACTCCATAGATTAGTAGCACAGCAAAATAAAATCTGTGAAACAGTCTGCCCTAGACATTTATCTCTTCAGCATCACACATTCAGGGTTGGCTATTTATTTTCTAATTGTTGTTGTTGTTGTTAGTGCCATCAAGTCTGTTCTGACTCACAGTGACCCCATATAGGGTTTCTGTGGAGGGGCTGGTAAACTTGAACCGTAGGCCTTGTAGTTCAAACCAACCTTGCAGTCCAGTGCATTAGCCTACAGTGCCGCACTGGGTTTGGTCATTTTTCTAGAAGTCTCCATTTTTGAGCCACTGTAACATTTGTCTCTGTGAAATATTTGCCAAATGGATATATATAGAGAAATAATGTTTACTATAGTGAAACTAAGGGATTCGGTGTGTGAAGTTTAGAAGTATACTGGCATTTTACAGAGTTCTGAAGAGGCAAAACTCTTTTCTTTTTAACTACTTGAAGTAGTTATGTCCTGTATTCATAGCCTCTGCTTGAAACAATTTAAAGATAACAGGATCGCTCTCTCAGTGCCTTGCTGCTTTCTAACCAAAGCTCATCTTTTGCAATACCTAACACATGGTAGCTTTTTTTTTTTTTTTTTTTTCCTAAGAGCTTAATTGGATAAGAAGTTTCTGTCACTTAGCCTATGTATTGTGCATTTTGAAACATGGTTCTTATCTGAAAAGTATCCTGAGAAATATAATAATTACTTCTCAATGTATATTAAGGTGAATGGGATTTAAAATAAACACATATTGTGGTTCTGATTTCAAAAGTCCAACATTAGATGTAAGGAAAACCAGCCTAGACATGACTGTTTTATAAAGGGAGAGCTGGGTGATGACTCTCAATATCAGGAATGTACCTATTATTCTCTTACACTCCTTTCTTCTGTGTGCCCTTGCTACTATCAACCAAGACCCAGGAAACGGTTGTTTCTTATGCCACATGGTATCCCTTCAAGTCCTCTGGTGACAGAAAACACTAGGATTCTGCATTATTATATAAGGTTCCCCAGTATTTCCTTGTTGTTGTTAGGTGCCATCGAGTTGGTA